GATGGTCTTGGGTTTCCCATGATACTACCATCAAAGTTTAGTTTTATTTTATATGGGACAGAATTTGCCACTTCCTTCCATTTTCTAAAAATGTCGTCCGTAGTAACATTAGTAAAGGTTTCTAGAGATTTGAGTCATTGAGCCACCCTAATCATTATTGTTTCAATCAAGCCTTCCTTTCTTCTTTCTTCCTCCAAGAATATTCTTAAATTCCTTTCTTCCCATATTCTCCATAATATTGCCGCTCTAGTGCATCCCCACATTAGTCTTCCCTTCTTCTTTAGCCACAGAAAGAATTTAGGAGTGAACAAGCTTTGCACATCAATCGGAGGATTCCACCTACACCCAAACAAAGAGAAAAACTATTCCCAAATATATGCAGTAAAAGTACAAAAGATAAGTAGATGGTAACAGTTCTCACTATTAGCTTTGCATAAAACACACCAGTGTGGGGATATACTCCAATTTTTGTGCTTTCTTTGAAGCAGTTCACAAGTGTTGATCTTTTCATGGATAGCTTCCCAATAGAAAGCTCCAATTCCAGAAGCTTGCACCAAAGCTCATTAGCTGGGAAAGAAGGCAAAGAACTAAAGGAGGGTTGAGAGAGGGCTCTATAGAAAAAAGCACAAGAGAAAGAACCAGAAGGGGTACATGTCCAAACTCGGTCATCCGCTAGAGAGTTTGAGGGAAGGTTTCCAGAAGCTAACTTCTTTAGGATTAGCATTTAGCACCAAGGGGTAGACCTAGATAGGTTAGAGGCCATGGACTATTGCTACACCCTAAAATGTTTGCACACTCTACCATCACATCTCCCCTTTAGCCATGTTGATCCCAGCAATGCAACTCTTCTCAAAATTTATTTTTAAATTTGACATTTCTAGCAAAGAGTTGTACCGACAGCTTTAAGTGATTCACCCATTCCATTTCACCTTCCTCACAAAATAAAAGTGTCATCTACACTGTAGATAGGCGATCGCCACACTTTCCTTCTCAAAACTTATTTTTAAGTTACACTCTCTTCTCCCTCTCCCTTCTTCCCTCCCTCCCTCCCCCCCCCTCTCTCTCTCTCCCCTCTTTTCCTTGTGGGTTCCCTCCAATTTCCATTGACATTCCCCTTCTCCACCAGCTCTCACTCTCCTCCTCCGATTGCCACCCTCCAGAATTCTACTGCTGGAGAACTATGATGGCCCGATCCCTCGTTGGAGGGTATCTAGTGCAGGTGCAGCCCCCTCCAGGGGTCCGGCTGGTTCCCATCTCCACCGCCAGTGAGTTCCTTGGACTTTTGGGGTTTGACAACGAATGCCATATCCATACTCTTACACCTAGAAATCTCGGGTTGGCCCTAGGGCCCTTGAATGTTAAAATTTTCTAATGAACCTATGTAACCTAGATACAAAGACATGGCTGGACAAGGTGTCAAATACAAAATTTACATCAAATTTGAAGTATCCAACATGATATGGCACCCTTGTATGGGGGTATCCAGGTATCATAGAACAACACCGAAATCAATCCAAACAGACAACTTTTAACACCTCAAATTTTGGCAGCGAGAATAGTGACTAACTTGACATGTTTTCTCTTTGATATAGTGATTTGAAGCTTAAGTATTCGCCATTAACTTGGAATGTTCAATATTTTGCATCCTACATCACCATCTAGGAGGGGAACATTATGTGGAGAGTAGTACTCATGCTACTACTTTATGGAACATTTGGGAGGAAAGAAATTCTAGGAAATTTCCCTACAAGATGTAGTTCTATGAAAATATTGTTGATTTGATGTCTGGTAGAGTTGCCCATTGGATTTTGATAAGAGACAAGTTCAGAGGCATTTCAATGAATTCAAATTTCAAAGCTTGGCAGGTGGTTGCATGCTTTTATTTTTCATAGATGTCTTGTTGGGCAGCTGTCATTCCCCTCAAGAAGATATTAAGTTTAACTTCAATGGGTGCTCTATGGGGAACCCAAGGCTTCTGGAATTGAAGATGTGCTTAGGGATGATGTGGCTGAGATTGTTATGGTTTTCTCTGGTCCTTTTGATGAGCAAACTTCCTTGAGGTCTTAGAGGGGTGTCTTATAGAGTTGGAACACACCCAGGTAGGGGAGGATTCTATTGTTATTGGTTGGACTCTTGATGGTTCCTATGGTCTTTGTACCTATTATTGGYATGTTAGGAAGTTTAGAKCCTTGTCTTCTAGATTGAACATCCTGTTCTGATGGATTTTGGGATCAAGTTGATGACGGACAACCTTGAGGTCTTAGAGGGGTGTCTTATAGAGTTGGAACACACCCAGGTAGGGGAGGATTCTATTGTTATTGGTTGGACTCTTGATGGTTCCTATGGTCTTTGTACCTATTATTGGYATGTTAGGAAGTTTAGAKCCTTGTCTTCTAGATTGAACATCCTGTTCTGATGGATTTTGGGATCAAGTTGATGACGGACAACCTTGAGGTCTTAGAGGGGTGTCTTATAGAGTTGGAACACACCCAGGTAGGGGAGGATTCTATTGTTATTGGTTGGACTCTTGATGGTTCCTATGGTCTTTGTACCTATTATTGGCATGTTAGGAAGTTTAGATCCTTGTCTTCTAGATTGAACATCCTGTTCTGATGGATTTTGGGATCAAGTTGATGACGGACAACCTTGTTAGGGATGGGACTGGTAGGAGTGAATTTTCATTTTTTCCTTTGAAACTTTGGGCTGTATTAGTGTTTTAGAGCTCTGTTGACACATCTTGGTGGTTTTTAAGCTGGATCTTTGTTGTTTGTGTCCCCCCTTCCTCATTGTTATGTCCTTTTATACCTTACATTCTTTTTTTCCTAATAAAATTTGTTTCTTATCTATAAAAAGAGCTCTGATTGAAACTTTGAGATGGGATGGTTTTATTTCAAGTGCCATCAACACAAAACATTTGATTTGAGCTAATTGAGATTTTTTCCCCAAAATTTTGAAAAAACCTTTACTCCTTCATGGGGTTTGATGGTGGATAACAAAGCTAAGCCACCCATGTTTTAAAGAATTTAAACTTCATGTGACAACATAGGTTATGTAGTGGTGTCAATCAGCAGGTTGTCCTTCCCTCCTTCTATGAAGGAACCAAAGTTGGACATAAGACAGGTATTGATGTCCTACATTGTGATCCTTAAGATCTTTGTTAATGAAAGTTAGGGTTCCTAAGGTGCATTCAAGTAGGGCAATTGTGTCTCTCCATTTTCTTTCTGCCTGCCTCTTTCATCTGTTTTCTTCTTTATGTCCTTGAAACCTCAATTCAACTATTTTTACCTAGGTGTGTAAAATTCATATGCATGCATACACACATGTAGCAACTCCATGTTGATGTTAAATGATGATACATAGTTTTTCTTTGTGATAATTGGTTGTTAACTCTTAATTATCTTCCTATTTTTTTCTTCCCAATTATCTTTCCATTTATTTGTCAATGGAAATTTACAAATGCTATATTCACAAGTATATAAGCTAGAGTTTTTTTGTAGATTTAATTTCATTCATTTATTTTCTTTACTAATTGATAATGGTAAATCTATTATGTATGAAAGTGTAACTGATAAAGATGCAGATCTATAATGTGCCAGGCACCACTTCTAGTCAGCTAACTTTATCTAGCCACCATTTAATTTCATCCATCAGCAATGCCGTTGGATGAACATTCTGTCCACTTGTAGTTTGTTTCCAGCTCCAATCCCAGCTTATTGATCTCCCTTAAAGTATGTCTATACTTCTATGACCATGTATAGTTCCATCTTATCCAGCCTATAGGCACATGCAAATCCCCTTCAATCAATACATCTCTGTAGTTAAGGGATTTTGCCATCTTTAATCCTTAAAAAATTTCTCACCATTCTGCCTGAGTAGAATCACTAAATCCAGAATAGAGAGTTAAAATATTTCCTTCTCAATTCCTAAACACCCTACTCCATAAGGACCTGGATTTCTACTGCAACCATCAAAATTCATGTTGATTCTTTATGATAAAGAATTCCTTTAGCCAAAGAAGAGGACATCATAAACTGCCAATTTCTGGTAATATCATTAGTGGTAAAAGATGCAAAAGCATCCATAAAAGGAGTAGAAACACCTAATGACCTCAAGCAGGTCTCCTATACAAAATATGAAAAAAGCATGTTCAGGTTGATTAAGAATACCCCGCAGAGCTGCTTATTTGTTGAAAGACACTATTTTGCAGGACCATTAAGTAGAGAGTTGACTGATCTAGGAACCTAACAAGAATGAGTAGTTCATTTTGGATATCAACAATACCTTGCCTCTCTGTCAAGATTTAAAAGAAAAGACAAAAGAAAGAAAGAAAACCTTGCTTTGCTGATATGGTAGAACAGTCTGCAGTGCCTATTGACTGTCCCTATCCTTAATCCATCCTATGATAACCAGCAGTGTCCGTATCCTCTTATAGGCCATAAACACTGCTACTCTTAGATTCTGTATCAGTAATAAGAGTTCGACACTTCAGCTGTTTCTGAATCCTCTCTGCTGGAGGGTCCTGCATATGGTAGCATTACCCTATCGGCAATGTTTCTAAATACCAGTTCCCAATGTCCCTGGGTTGCCTTGGAAACAACCATCTTAGTTTAACATGAGAATTTCCAGTGTGGGTGCCTGCTCTTCCGCATAATTGCAAATATATATTCCATTGAGTTATGCATTTAATATTACTAATAAGTAATAACAGCAATGCAGGGAAACAAAACAGTGTTTTGTGTGTGTGTGTGTGTGTGTTTTCTGATTTGATATCTGGTTTATTGTTTATGTACTGTTTGTGGGCCAATTTTAAAATATTGGTTATCTGATATTCATGATGTGAGTTCTTGTGCAATGGTCAGCTAGATGATTTTATATTGTGATAAAGTATGATGTGATGCTGAATCTGGAAGTAGTATTTTTGCATAGGCGATGATCTTCTCTTCTATTCTTCCAGACATTTTTTCATTTCATTTTGCCTTGCCTTCTTTCTCTTATTTCAGGTTGAACATGTTGTGAGGGAGGAGAAGACTATGGCAGCATATGACCTTGTTGAGATTTATTGTGAGCTTATTGCTGCACAACTGGCAATAATTGAGTCACAGAAGTATGTACTATGTATATACATATGACCCTTCTTGGGTTATCCACTCTGGTCCACTATGGACATCTTGAATTTTCTGTCTACTTAAATATTTTAGAGAAGTTTTCATTTCCATACTAGAAGCCCATTTTGTAATTTTTCTGAGAGAACATGCAGGGAGAACCTGTCAACAATGATAATTCACAAAGTTTATGACTACATTTTAACCTAGAGATAGAGAAACCATGGGATTCCATAGAACATGAGCTAATTATATTATTCTTCCTTCCTTTTGATATAATGAAACATATTCTTCAGCTTTTTTTCTCCCATTTTATGCATTTATTGCATCTTATGTTCTTTGTAGCTTTAATCATTGGCATATTTTTATAAGGATTTCTGTTATTTGCTTGGTTGTTATCAGCTTTTATGGCGTTCGAATTACTACATCAATCTTCAAGATGATTTCTGTAGTTTTTCCTTCCTTTGTATGTGAAAGGGTTTTTACATGCCCATTACTTCATTTGGGCAGTTATTTGCTTGCCATTCATTATGCATAACCTTGTAATGTAGCAATAAATAGGCCAAGAGGTTCTAAAGTTAGTTTTAAGCAAAAGTCAGTTGGGCATCTTTCTGTTTTTATTTGAACTAGAGAATGACCGGCGTACCAAGTAAAAGACCAATCAAAGCATCCCGTTGAATTTGCTTTTTATTTATGTATTCTAATAAATTTTGTTTGTCACCCAATTTCTATGCTGTAAATTTAGGTTCTTATTTTATTTGGTTTTTTATGTATAGATTTGTTATTTAATTTAAGAGATTAAATCAAGTTTCATTTCTAAATAATACCCTCTTTATGGATCCTACATCATTTGAAATGAGTTTTTTGCTTTTTTTTTCTTTTCTTTTTAGTGGAATTAACTACTGTTAGCTTTTTTGAGAGTGGAGGTAACTACTCTTTGAGTGGATAGATGCATGTCTAAGGAAGGAAGCTTTTGTTTGAGAGTGGGAATAACCACTTTTAAGATGCTCTTTCTTGAGAAAATAAGATGCCACTTGTTTGAAGGAGAAGCTCTCTAATCTGAGGGCTTTGTTATATATATATATATAAGAGATTTGGTTGGGGATTATGTTTTTTAATACAAATTTAGAGTTTACATATAAAAAAAAAGGGTTGGGGATTATGGATGGTGCAGTGTTTTGAAATTTGAAGTTTTTAGGATGAGCTTGTATATTCGATTGAGATTCTAGTTTGAAATCTCAGAAATTTTAGTAAAATGGAGAAAGTGGAGAAAATTTAGAATTTCTTAAATTACTCAAATACCTCTAAACTTTATCTTATAAAAATTCCAAACATTTTCTTTTTTGATAGCAGATATAAAATTTATTAAAACAAAAAATTCAAGAAAGGTGATAAGAAATCACCCGAGAGTGGCCCGAGAGAAAAAAGAAACAACTATTCAACCGACCAAACCCCAACTCCACTCCCTTGAAAGCAAAAATCAGAGCACCCATCTCACAAAGCAAAAAACACCAACCCAATAAAGGACTGATGACTCCAATCCAAATCAAGGCAAGCAACAGCTCAACCATTCAGACTTGAGTTTAGCTGGATTTTAGATGGCTGTGACAGTTGTTTAAAGTGTTGAAGAAGATACTAGAGAGAGAAGAAAGGGTGAAACCCTAGTCATTTCAAGAGGACTTGGAACCATTCTAGGGTTTCAATGGGATCACTCCATAAAACACAACATGCACAGAAAATTATTACTTAAACTTTCATTCCTTATTCATCTCTTCCCATGGTAAGACGAAAGAACAATTTATAGATGCCTATATAAATAACTTTGTTTTGTAGGCACCGTTTCTAAGTGCAATTCTGTGTCTAACTTTATCATGTATCTTCTTTCGGCTGCATTTGGAATCGGTGTAAATCAGGAACCGATGTAAAAGTTTACGCCGGTTCGATTTTGCCAGCGTTTGGAAGGAGTGTGTAATCATGATCGACGTAAAACTCCACTCTGGTTCAGTTTTGCATGCGTTTGGATGGAGTGTAGTTTTACGTCGTGAGCCGGTGTAAAACCTCATCAAATGTAAAGTTTTGCATTGATTATCAATGTAAATACTACATCGATAAAATCGATGTAAAACTTTACACCAATCACATCACACTTTTCAAGAATGCAAGGTCACTGAATCGCGGTTCAGTGTAAAACGTCATCGGTATACTTTTACACTGATGACATTTTACACCGATTCCAAATGCAGCCTTAAGTGTCAAGCAAACCCTTTAGCCTTTATGCTGGTCCTAGCATCTAGTGGCAAAGATACCTAGTCAGTAGGCCTTTAGGTTGCATCCCAGTGGCTATCTCAAAAGGTCTTCAGTCTTCCTTGTGGATCTGTTGACTGAATTGTTATAAGAAAACGTAGTCATATGCATATAACTAAGTTTTTTTTTTCCCCAAAAAATTTTCTGTCATATGCAAGATAAGATGTAACAGGTCACCAAGGCTATCCTATTAACCACCTTAATTTAACTAATGGTTTGATGATGGAAAGAGGAAGATGTTGGAATGGTATTGGAGTGCTATTTCTACATATTATGCTTATGGAGAATGGTTACCATAATCTCTAAATTGATAGGTGCCTATTGGGTGTTTTTGGGTTCTCTTTCTCTACTTTCTATATCTCTCTCTAGTTTTTGCAAGCAATCATCATAGACAATAATAACCCGTAAATTCTTTATCAGAGGTGTTTATTCAACACTCCTAAGGGAATAAAACTGATCCAGGTATTTTTTTCCTTTTGTCTACATAAAAAATTGAAAATTTCTTCTTTAGCAAAACTGTCCTTTTGTGCCAAACCATCTTCGATTTCTCTCCCAAGTGGATTTCATCGTAAGTTTCTATTACCTTTTATCCATCTCATGTTTAATATGAAGGAACTCTGTGGACCAGACTTTTGACTAGGTATCTGCTTTGATCATTTGTACAGTTTGCCACTTATTCCTTTCAAGTGACCAATTGGGAGTTGTCACCTCCATTGGAATCATTCATTTGATTCTTTAAACCTCCTCAAAGCTTTTGGAATATGAAAAGTTTTATGCACCTATTGTTAAAACCCTGTTGTATGGTTATTCTTTTCCCCATTTCTGGTTCTTGGGAAGTGGATGTTTACAAATTTATATTTTTTTGAAGGGTGATAATTCAATCAACATGTTCTCATTAAATCATGAACATCCTGTCAATGTATCACACTCATTATCTTGAAAATTCAGTTAGCATATTAATTGTGAATCGTTTTCTATTTTCAAGCCAATGACTGACATACATGATAGGGCAATCACGGTTTACCCAATCTGAGCACATTCATCTGATTATTATACTCTTTATGAAACCTCATTTTTTTTATATTATTTTAAGCCTTTTAGCAGCTATTGTCTGAAAAGCTAGACTTACTGGGTTTACTATCACATATCCAGAAACTGTCCCATCGACTTGAAGGAGGCAATATCTAGTCTGATATTTGCATCCCCAAGATGCACAGATGTACCAGAACTCATGGAGGTCCGCAAGCATTTCACAGCAAAATATGGGAAAGAGTTTGTTGCTTCATCTCTTGAGCTGCGTCCAGAATGTGGTGTAAACCGTACTGTAAGTTGTAGATTGAGCATTCAGAGGAAGCAACTATGACTTCTAACTTAGTTATCTTTTTAACTCATCAGGATTTATCTTGCCACGTTTCAGTTGGTTGAGAACTTATCAGCAAGAGCACCTGATGGTCAGATGAAAATTAAGATTTTGGCTGCGATTGCCCATGAACATAACATTGATTGGGATCCTAGTTCATTAGCAGATAAAGACTCAAAGCCTGCTGAGGATTTTCTGGTAAGAAAGACTGACTTAACAATCAACCATTGTTTGCCTTACATTTCATTATTATAGAATTGATGACTAGTATGTTCTTTCTGAATCTGTGTAAGCAGAATGGACCAAGTACATTTGAGGCTGCCAGTAAGTTGCAAGTGGAACTTCCTGATGTACCTACCAACCCTGCCAAGCAAGAGTCATCTATGAATGTCCCTAATAACAATGTGACCAGATCATCACCGAGTTCACACGTTTCTGCTACTCCTTATACAACAGTGCCTGCCAATCTAGCCTCAGGTGTGCAAATAATTATGTTATTTATATCCCTGTTTTTATGATCAATTACTTCATTGTTTTTTTGGCATGAGAGACATGATTTCATTGTTCTTTGGTTTGTCTCTTTAATCTCCCAGAAAGTGGAACTGAGGGTCGAGAATTTGGACAAACATTTCCGAAGGAGGGAAGTTTTCCTTTTCACAAGCACAACTGGAATACGGAATTCAAAGATGCAACGTCTGCTGCACAGGCAGCTGCTGAATCTGCAGAAAGAGCTAGTATTGCTGCCAGGGCAGCTGCAGAACTTTCAAGGCAATATTCCTCAAAGTCACATGGGTCACCTGGTTGTGGTTTTAGAGATGAAGGAATTACAAGTTCAACCACCCAAAAGTTGCAAGACCCTGTTGCCATAGGGTCATCAAAGATGGTGCATGATTCATCAGATAGTTCCTCATATGTCATGAATCAAGGTATGTCAAAGCAACCAAGGGCAAGGAACAAGCAAGATAACTTGCCAGGAGTCAAAGAAAGTATATACAAAGATCCTGCCTATGTTAATAGATCTAACAGCTCTGTTTCCTTGGAATCCACTACAGCTTCTGCTGCTGATCATGCATCTGTGAGTAGTCTCAGTCAAGGAGAAAGATATTCAGAAAAAAGGTCATCTGAGACAGAGGTTGTTAACCCATATTGGCAGGCCAGAAACCCCAAGGATAGTTTAATTCATGAAGCAAGTATCAAAAGACAATCTAGCCAATCTGAGATAGAACCTAGGAACCATTTGCAACAGAATAAGAAAACTGAAAATATTAATCATTATGGAGAAGGAACCTACCAGAAAAAATCTAGCATATCTGTTTCCTCTCATTCCTCTGTAAGTACTGACGATGATGATGCCACTTCCAAGTTGGATGTTGAGAAGTATAAAAGTTATGGTGGTGAGCAGTCTTTCAATGATATTGATGAAGGGCTGCAAAAAGGCACCAAGTCCTCAGACTACACTGATTATCCTCCTGCAGTTTTTGATGATTATGGTTCAGATGATGACCATCATTTTGAGGCAAAGAACAACTATAACAGACATGGATACGACTTTTATTTCCATTCACCAGTTAGAAAATCCCCTTCTTTTGTTTCAGAAAACACAAATAATCAGAGCCCTAGGCAAAAGAAGAATGAGGCATTGGAGGGCACTGCAGAATCACCTTTTGTCATGAAACTGAAATCGCCTTTTGGATATTCAGATAGATCAACAAAATCTGGAGTTCTGTCACAATCGGATGACTTGTTACCTGTTACCTATGATAATTCAGATGGTCCAAGTTCTGAGAGTGAAGAGGAGAAGGATAATTTTGAACTCCATGGAAGAACAGAGTCTAGCAGTATGCTTCATAACCAGAATATCTTCAATGGTAGCCCAAATTCGGGCCAAAACAATAGGACATACGTGTCAACAAGATCAACTGTTGAAAAGGAAGAAAATAGAGTGAAGAGAAGTTCTGTCATACGGTCCTCTTCTGATCTTTCAGAATCCAAAGAAGATCACCTTGAGAATAAACAAGAAATAAAATTCAACAATTCCAGGGAGAAATGTGACCAAATCAACTTCCCCACAAAGCAGTCACCTCATAGACATACTAGATCCCCAAGAAAGTTAGATAATTTAGACCAGGAGATGCCATTGTCGTCATCTCAGTTGTCATTGACCAAGAAAACCATACCTCATGACAGTTGTGGCTCAGAACAAGTGCTTAATATTACAGAAAGATTGGACATTTCAAAATTCTCAAACTCTGAGAGTGGACTGGAGTTAAATCTTGGGTTTTTAACCGGTGGCCTTCGAAATAAGGGTTATAGGAGCCCACCTTACAGAAAAATTCCTTTAGGTGATGCTTCACTTCTATCCCAACAGCATACAGCAGCAGATACTCCTTCCATCACCAATGTTTCCCCAGTAATCAGGAGTTCCCTCAATTCTGAAGAATGTTGCGAGGGGTCAAATGATCAGGATTCATATAGCAATGATACCAAGGACTTGTCCCAACACCAAACTGATGGTAGAAAAAGTTACAGAGGTAGCAGGCTTTCTCAAGGGATAAAAGATTCTCTTGAACAGTCTGAGCCTTGTGGTGAGGAGTCCAACAGCCAGAAAATGCAAATAAAAGATCATAAAAAGTCAAGCATAAGAACCTCAAAGACATATTTTGATTCAAATGGTGCTGATTCCAAGGAAGTAACCCTGCACCAATCTGTTGGGAGCAAAAGTTATGCAGGCAGCAGACTTTCTCGCAGGACAAAGGGTTCTCCTAAACAGTCTGAAATAGGTAAAGTTTCAAGGCTTACAGTTGGAAATCAAGTGCCAACTAATTCTGAGTTTGGCACTGGAAAGAAACCTTCTTCACAGGATTCTTTTGCAGCTGAACCTCTTTCAAGGTTTGAATCCAAGACAATGAGCACAGATGGAGAAGGTTCTAAGTTTCTAAGGACTAATATACCAGTTGAACGGGAACCTTTTAAATCTATGCCAGAGCCCAAAGTCTCAGTGCATAAAGAAGCTAGGGGTTCCTATGCAGCTCAACCTCATTCTGTTTCTCAGTCCCAGGTGACAAGCTCAGAAAGCAGAGATGATTGTAAGCCACTGAGAACTAGTTTGCCAGTTGAACAAAAAACTTATGAGTCTCTGCGTGAGTCCAAATTTTCAGAACGTAAGGATTTGAGCACTTCCTTTGCAAATGAACCTGCTAATAAGTTTCTGTCCCAGGCAGCAAGTTCAGAGAGCAGAAGTGAATCTAAGTTTCCAAAGGACAGCTCATCAATTGAACAATACTCTTCTAAGCCCATTCCAGAATCCAAATTCTCAGTGCTTAAGGAAAGCAGATTGGACTTACGTCAAGCAAGTTCAGCTGTGGAACAGCCCTCAAATCCACAAAAAACACTACCATCAGGGAGTGGTGAAAGTTCAAAGATATCAGGTTCAAATGAGGGATCGGTGTCAAGAGAGAACTTGCCAAAGGCAAGCCATGTCCACCCAAAGCTTCCAGACTATGAAACTTTTGCTGCCCACTTCCATTCTCTTCGGTCAAATAAGCGATGAGTATGGGTGTATTCCATTTTACTACACCAGTGCTGACTGAGGATGGTTTTAATGGTAAGAATTGATCGGAATATACACAGAGAGTGGCCTTTGATGGTGATATAAAATTTATGTATCACCAACGTTTGACCACATTTGGAGCGTATTTGAGTTGAGCCAATGGTCTTCTGTCTCATTTAAGGTCAGCTTTTGAAACGTTCTGTATAATAATAATTTTTCTTGAGTTGAGATTCGAACTTGCTGTTGTATAATTCCAGTTCTATCTGCTATAAAATCATAGTGATTTTTTACATTTATACAAGGTTCAATACACAGCTACTTTGAATGAACTGATTGAACATATTCAACAGGCTCCATTGTGCTTATTTGTTGATAACGGAACATTAATTGATGAAGCAAAAGAAGAATTATTATAGAATTAAATTTATGAATACCTTAGAAATAGGAGGTTTTGACATAAGTAGAACTAAAACATAACATGTGCAATGTAAACTTAATAGTTAACAATATAGGAGTGGAAAAAAGGGTTTAAATTAGGCCGGGTCAGGACAAGCTGAGTTAAATCCCAAGCCAATCCAAGTTGTTGAACCCCCAACCCTAACCCTAAATGATCTTCTTAGACTTAAGATTGAAGTATTAAGATTAATTAACTTTAGCATTATAATATGTATAAGTACAAAACTATGGTGTTTTAAGAATTCCAAATTTATGCCTATGGCCCAATATCACTAGAAAATTTCAAGCTCTTCATAGCATCCGCAGTAGACCTCATGTGCACCCTTACCATATCACTAGAAAATTTTTGCAATTAAACTTAAAACTGTAAACTCATATAGATACATAAATTTATTGATCCATCTATACATATATATGCACATACAAATATGAAATATATGTATATACATATTTATGCAATTTTTTTACATATACGAAGATGTTGGTTTTCAGGCCGGGTTGGGTTGCCCAAGACATCAATACGAAATCAAACCCAAAGCAATGTTGGATCCATATTTCCCAACCAAATCATAAACTAAACTTTCAAACCACTAAGTTGCACCCATAAGTGGAAACAGGAATACATTTAGTAATAATGTTTTAAAAAACGATTCAGAACTGAAACCGTTCTGTCCATCGGTTTTTGAGTTGATGATTTAACCATTTGGTTTGAATGGATGGTCCATTTTAATAAAAAATTAAAATAAAAATCTAAAACCATTAAACGGATCAATGGTTCAACCGTTTGGATCAATGGGTCGTTGACCAATTTAATGGTTTTTGGTTAGAGATCGGATTTGGGGTAAAACAGAATTGGTGGGCTGGATGGTTCTTAGGCTGAATAGTTCGACTGTCCGAATCAACGACGGTGGTTCAAAAAGCATGCTTAGAACTAAAGACCAAGAGATTATTCAATTTAACCTCTTCCATCATGTTTGTTCAATAATCCGTTACATATGGAAGATTGAGGAAACTGTTGCTGGAACAAGATGGGCAAAATGGTGTGTCCAAAGTCTTACGTGACGGAAGAATACCACTTTGGTTAAGGGAAAGTTTTATAAAATATTATAAAACCAATAATGTTGTATGGAGCACTACGAGCAATTAAGAAACATGGGTGGAAAACCTGAAAAGGACAAGGTCAAAAATAAATTTATTTCAAAGACATAAGAATGGCTCCAATAAGTTATAAATTTAGGGAAAACGTGCTAGGAATCTAGGATGGTCTGATTATGTATTTATGTGTGCAGAAGACCCTCTGTAACATCACTAACCGATCTTTTTACAAATTGAAGGGGATTGAAGGGGCTAAAAGAGTTAGAGATTTGGAATAAAAAAAGGGAGAATATTGGTTCAGCCTAAGGTCAGAATTTTTAGGCCCAAAGTACAGTTGAAGTGCGTATCAACTCAAAATTGATGCCAATTTAGGGGCGGTCATTGATATATAAAATGGAGGTTTTTGACATTTTGAATGCTTATAGTTATAAATCTTGCGGTGGAATTTAGAAATCTACATTAGGCTTATCTGTATTTTTCCGGAAAAAAAAAAAAAACATAAATTAAAGTAGTAATTAGTGATTCAAGGGCTCATAATTGAGCTAGGTAATGGGATGCATGTAACTGACCCCATATAGTTGGGAAAAAAGACTACGGATTTCAAATGATGATGCATTAGTGTCTTGTTGTTTGAACTCTCAAGCTATCAAACAATTAATAAAATTTGATAAGTGGGTCGTCCTCCAATTGTTGACACATGTACATAAAGGAGAGGCTGAAGTCGATAACATTGCAAGCATTCTCCCACAATCTATATAGTGAAACGAGAAGCTAGCCAAGGGGGGCTGTATCCTGTATGGATGCTTGGCAACACGAGACCCACTATTCTCTGTCTCCTGATCAATTCATTTCCATTTGGCCAGTTCATGCTGATGTGGATTGTGGCCCCGCCACATGCTTTGCTTTTGTTCAGGCAGCGAGGTGTTTCTGTAGGCCCTATTTGAGACCATTGGCAAGGAGATGACACTCATTCACCAGCCCATGAAGAACAAGAATGACAAGGCCGGCCGGGTCGGCCAAGTTGGTGACCATGTATGTGTTCACACGACCATCATTGACATTGTAGGTTGTAGAATTGCATGCAGACCATCATTAGCCTCTGCCCAAGTGATCGGTCAAGCCTAATCCCAACGATAATTCATCGATCAACAAAGTTTGAACATCATATATCTCTCTCTCTCTCAAGTAGTGTGCAAGAGTCAAAACTGGTCCAACGTGTCTGCTGATATTTCATTGACTTGCATCCTAGTGGAACGCAGAATCGATTCTGCACACAGAGTTTGAACATGATCTCTCTCTATCTATCCATCTATTTCTCCCCGTTCTCTATGATGCGAGAAAGAATATCTTATATCTAGCTACTTGACTTCCCAATCCCATTCACATCAGTTAGAATGTAGATTCGATGAGAAATTAATGGCATCCGAGTTCGATTCGGATTGGATTTTTCGAATTTTGAATTCATCCGACTTCAATGAACTTACTTTAGGTTCAAAAGCTTAATTATATACTAAATGCATTAAAGACTTTCATTTGCCATACTATATAATATATTATTATATAATTATACATTACAATTTGATTTTTATGATGGGAATAATATCAGAATTTGATCCGGTTTTTAATCAGATTCTGCTTGTCCCATCTAAATCTGATCCAATATTATGTATGATTCATTCAAATTCAAAATAATCGAATTGAATGTTGAATCAGGTTATAAACCTTCGAGTATCATTAACAGGCTTAGGTGATTTGGGATGGCAACTGAGAGATGAAATTTCAGCTGACGTGGTAGTGAAACTATGAAAGTAGAGGATCATGCACTTTTAGAAAGGTCCGGATGTAATAGGCATGTTACGTAAGCACAATGAGTGAACATGTAATAGCTGTGTGACACATGTCCCAGTTAATATGACTTTCATCCAAACGGTTTTATTGTGTTAGACATCAATTATTCATTATTTTATTATTTGTCAAAATAATTAAAAATAAAAAATAATGAAAAAGGAAAACGTAAATGAGTCCCAACTCCCAACATGTTTAGATTTTCCTTTTTCATTGTTTTTATTTTTAATTATTTTGACAAATATAATAAAATAATGAATAATTTCTGTTTAACGGAGCAAAACCGTTTGGATGAAAAGCACATTAATTGGGACATGTATCATACAGCTATTACATGCTCACTTATTGTGCTTACCTAACGTGCCTAATACATCCGGACCCCTTTTAGAAGGATTGAAAGAATATGTATGGAGGAATTTGATATATTTTTCCATTTTGGTTGAGGGCAAGACCACCAAATCTCCTTGTTGGATTGGAGCATCTGATCACCACATGCAGTGCAGTTATGTCAAACTTTGTTTATTGCTCTGAATTTTGTGTCCAAGTCGACGAATGTTGTAGTGCATTGTTTGGTTAGATTTGGCATTGAGAATATCTACTCATGAATGACACTATTTAGATTTGTAAATGCTGTGAGGGGGGGTGGCTTGTTAGTATGTTAGCTGGTTTGTTCCAGCATTGATGTGGAATCGTTTCTTACAACCACTGATTTGGGGAAGGGAGGTTATTAGCAATGCGTAGCATCAAATACCAAAAAAAAAAAATCTTAACTGATAAAATAAAAGAATAAATGAGTGGATTTAAATCCGGATTAAATAAGTGGATTTAAAAATCCAAGTTGAGAAAAAAAAAACAAATAAGTGGATTTATTAAAGGGTTTCAATTATGATACCAAAAGGCTAATTGAATAGTGACTTGATTGGCACATAAACTGAGTAGTCTTAGGCCAGATGCAGTTTTAAACCCCACTATCGGCTCTCACTTCCTTCGAGAAGAATTATTTATATTGACAGAAAGTATTATACTATAATAAGGAAAATTGAAATACAACCCCTATGGGAGCAAAGGTGAGTGACATAAAAAAAAAAAAAAAAATCATGCTAAAAAATTATAATACTAAAGAAAAAAACTTATAACCAATCAACCGATATTATGAAAGAGGTGACTATTCATCAAATTTACGTAGGTACCTTGATTGATCAAATCTCTTTTACTAATAAGCAATAAAACTAATATTATAAAATAAATTTTAACTTTTTATAATTGATATTTTTAGCTTTTGTGCCTTAAATATTGTTTTTTTGTCTTGATTTGACATGGCCTTAAATTCATGATGCTGGAAAGGTATGAGATCGCTTTTAATCAATCAACGACACCCTCATGATGCCATCTGAGGTTGACACATCACATATGATACCATTTGATTGGTTATAAGTATCTTAAACGTAAGCGCAGCCATGATCACCCCTAGTTTTGAAAAAATGGTTCTGCACATTTATTTATCGGGTCAGGACCGAATCTACCCTGACCTGGACCAGGTCCGACCGACATCACCAGTTCCAACCCTTATATAGCGTAAATTGTGAAAGATGTTGATGAGTGTATGGATGTTATCTGGATTCTGTCCGGATTCCAATCTGGAATTAAAAAGATAGTCGGCTCCGTGTAGGCAATTCCAGCGGATCAAAATTCCCGTTGGTGAGAAGTGAACAACCTTTTGGCTTTTTATCCCTGAAAACTTCTTCTATGCGAATCCCAGGCAGACGGCAGACCCTAAAATGCCGTACTCAATTCTTTTTCTTTTGGTCGTCCCGTACTGAATTCTAAGGCAGTCCACTTGGCGTAGACCGTAGAGATTGCTTGGTGGACGGTTGGTAAGTTTTTTACTTTTTACGTACGCATGCAATACATCACCGAATCGAAAGTTCAAAACTGAGCTAAAATTTTTGCTTCGCATGTTTGCCACGTGTACAAAAACCCTGCTCCCATTTGTACCAGTTGGACTGGGAAGTGGGAACCTAAACCGAAAGACTTAACCGTTCATTTGCCCCCCAAGACAACAAGTAAAAACGAATAGCAGAGTACGGTTGGGCCGCTTACATAGCACGCCAACTGAGACCCTATCGCACGCGGACGCGGGATTGGATTCGACAACACCACACCGACCTCTCTTTCAACGAACTTTCCCAGTTAAAAAAAAAAACACATTTATTACCGCCGTGACTCAAAGGGTCCCACTGTCTCTCTACAGAAGGTGAAAGGGAAAAGAAAAGGAAAACCACAGCGGCCTTCAAGGAAAGTTTGGGATTTGAATTCGTTAGTAAATAGTTAACTACTGATCTAGGAACCACTTGAACATATACGCATTGATCATCCTGACCGTCAATCAAGGACGTGGACGAGCATCTCGCGTTCACCCAATATGGGCAGTTCCTCACCTCACATTCTGTGCTGTCTGCAAAACAAAACAGTGCTTTGGTCTCAACTCTCAACTCTCAACTTTGGAATTCCACTTCAGCCACGTGCCGCGTTGGCGAGTCAAAGTGGCCGTTACATCTGATGGATGGAGAGTGGAGATACGCTACGTGCAACAGCCAACAGGACAACACAGCTCCACAGTCCAGATCGATGTATTTGTTTTCTTCCTTTGCTTATCTTAGCAAGGTTTATCGTTTTATGCTCTGCTCTGCAGAGTGTGAAGTGAAAGACCGGTCTCACCCACGTCAACCATTCGATGGGACCGCCCACCCTATATCGTTCATCGATATCTAGATCATGCCAAATCCTGGCGGTCCATGAATCTCGTCTCTTGACTGATTGACTTCCTCCTGATAGTGCTATGTGGTGGGTCCCTACAAATCTTAATTTATTCTAAAATGTGTCTGTTCTTGATCAGCTATACCCAAACACGTGGGATCATTTGGTAGACACAAGCTTGAGATAAACGCAACCCACACATCACTTGCACCTGCGGTTCGTATGTATGCTGTACACACCACGCACCTAGATTAATGAATGCCACAACGTGGTCCACAGGACTTCACGGTTGAGATCTAAAGGACCAAAAAGGAACATGGGGATGCACACTATTTCCAGATTCGTACGTGCGTGAGCTTATGCCACGTCCCACGTTGTGAATGGGCCTGGGTGCTGACTGTTACCAGGCCTACGGCCCAGATTGCCTGTCTCTTCAGAATCCAATCCATGCTTGCTTGCTGGTTGAAGTTGCTTGGGTTGCACGCGAGCTCGTAATTGGCTCCGTTCTTTATCGGCTTGGCTCGTAACTATCTTGACACCTGTCCCTCGGTAATCGACTCCCCTATCGCTCTCATTCTGCTGTCCCCTGTTGATTTCATTCCTCTCTTCTCTTCGGCTTCAAGCTTTCAGCTTAGCCTATTTAATTATTTTTTGCCTGCATAATCATCATAAGCGTTAATTAAGAGCTTTCAACCAGCCCAACTAGTGAAAGCGATCGTTATTCATACTGATGAGATTATCCCAGCCGTCTAATTTGCAAAAATACCTGGCTTACATCTTAACCGTACATCGTTATTTCGAATCCAGATGATTTGTATGGCATACAAGAGAATTGCTTAGGTGGAAGACACTATTGGGTCTTATCCTATATTCACGGACTATGTGGCGGCTAAGGCAGTGCTGTTGGACCCTACGAGTCTACCACGTGTGGGGCCACTGAAGGTGCAATATGCCAATATCTCTCGGTTAGGGGTCCTTAATTTTAATTAAAAGTCGGGATTAGAATTTTTGTTAGTGGAAGAAATGAGTGTAGCAGCGAAAGCCAAGCCAAGTATTTAAGGAATCCAAAGAAGAGAGAGAGGAGACAGAATTTTTATAGGAAGACTTGGGAACTGTATTTCTATTTTGTCCATCATTCCTCCTCCCCCACTGTGAAGGCAGCAGTCCGATTCCGATCACTGGCGACTCTAACTTTGTACTCTCATTCACTCGTTTTTACGTGGATATATCGTCTGCTTCCCGATTTCTGCAACTCATAAATCTCTCTTCTCGCTTCTTCCATCTCGAATCTTCAGTCAATTTGTTATCTGTGTAGAGAAACATACGTCAGAAGTCGAGTTCTCCATTCTTTCTGATTTCATGGTAATTAAAATTTGAAGCCCGAAAATTTCTGCCTGTTTTGAGAATTTTGAATTTTTGCACTGTTCGTTTACGATTCTAATGCTGCTCCTTTGAAGTCCAACTTCTGCATAATCTGATTTTTCTTTCATTATTTCTATTTACCTTCGCCCCAAAATCCCATCTCATATGTTCAAAAGCCTTTTCTTTCTGGGTGTAATCTTTGTAAAACACAATTTAAATCATTGTTGAGCATTGACCCATAGCAGCTTTATTCATTTCTGCTAAAGATTTAAAAAAAAAAAAAAAAAACTCTGTTCTTCTTCTTCCCAAGACCCAGGGCATCTGTGGTGTATATACAAGCGTACCCATCTCATTCAAGCCAAAGAAAAATCATAAGAACCTTTGATAAGAGTCATCCCGGAGCTTCAGAGGCCAGCTGCAAGAGACCCAGTTCATTAGGCCCTGCAGAGATACAGAGAAACAAAACTCAAAACTGAGACCCCTTCTTTTCCGGAAAGAAATGCAAGATCCGTACACGTTTCAATCGCTGAAGCCCCATTTTGCGGAGCAAGAGCAGCTCAAATGTCCTCGTTGTGAGTCAACAAACACCAAATTCTGTTATTACAACAATTACAATCTTTCCCAACCTCGCCATTTCTGCAAGAATTGTAGGCGCTATTGGACTAAGGGCGGTGCCCTCCGAAACATCCCGGTTGGCGGTGGCAGCCGCAAGAACACGAAGCGTTCGTCCAACCCCAAACGTGTTTTGTCGTCATCATCATCATCGTCCTTGTCTTCGTCAACCCAGAATGCAGTCCCTAAGCCGGAGCCCAGTGGAATTTTCAGCCTACCAGTGACCACGATCGATCAGGACCGTCGGATGCTCGATATCACAGGGAGTTTCAGCTCTCTGTTGGCCTCAAATGGACAATTTGGTAATCTGCTGGAGGGTCTGAATCCTTGCAGTTCTGGTGCTCGAACGTTGCAACTCGGAGAATTTGCAGAGAATTCCAATTCCACTTCAATTAGAAACTCCGCAATAGAGTTGCAGGCCAACAACAATGCCGAGAGCTTCTTGGCCAGCATTCAGGGCGGCGATTCCAGCTGTTGGAGTAGTGGAAATGGATGGCCTGATCTCGCCATTTACACACCAGGTTCGACATTTCAGTAGGAGGAGAAGAAAAATAGAAGATAAAAAAGATAATTTTTTTTTTTGCTCTTTTTTATCTTTATTTTCAATCGTCTCCCTTTCATTTTGGTGGAGTTGATCTGCAAATCTAATAGCATACTTAGCAGAAATATGGTAATGAAGATTGAAGAGATGAACAGAAATAACTCTAGCGTATGTTAGCATTTTCCGATGCCCTCCAGGGCTCTAACACTAGAAGCGTCTTATTCGTGTTCACCGTTTCTTTGTGATATTTGTGTGGGGTTTGTTTGTTGGTTTGCTTGTATCATTGTCTGTGGCAAAAAAGAAAGGGATTATTCTGGGAATGTCTTTTCTTCTCTTCTGTAAGGAGCTAGAAACGAGTTATTGTGGATTACTACATTTAGAATACTGATATCATGCTTGTGGATGATGGATATGTGAATGCGATTCCGTTGATTGGATCTGAGATAATTGATCGCTGGAATTCATGAATTGTGCAAGGATTTGATGTTTGTTTATACCAAGTTAAGATAACCAGACAAAACACTTTACTTTTGGTGGCCGAGCTGTTGTTTATTAAATCAAAAAACAAAGTTAGCTTTGTCGAGTTGAAGAAGCTGTTGAATTCTCATGTGCCTACAGTTGTCAAACCAGGGTCGACGAAGAATGTTTGGTTGATTAATCAACCCTCGTTGGACTTAGGATAACCTAGGGTCAATAGCTAATACATTTGGTTATCTTGTCACTCAGATTTTTTTTCCCTTTTGTTTCTTTCTAGAGTGGACTTAGAAGAATAAAAACATGATCATTAACTCACCTAATATTTATTTAATTCTTTAAGTTGAATAGATCCTCAACATGTAATCACATTCGAGAGTTTTTATCAATTAATCTAATTTAATGTTCATTTATTCATAATTCGCTTATGAGGTGTTAAAAGAAATAAAAATCTATTCAGGGATCTCGCAGAGCGTTTCTCACAGTGGGATGTGACTGTGATGTCAGTGTAATGAGCGATATGTGAAGAGTACCATCCCAATTCGCAAGTCAGTATTGATGTTAATCCCCTGAAATGCTTATGCTACCACCCAATAATCACAATTCACAGAACACGAACAGTAGTATTTGGTGTAATTAAGTATTGAGTGGTCTCCTTTTGAGAGAGAGAGAGATCTTGTTCCGGCGATTACGAGCTCGGCCAATTTAAACCATTTCCAGTGTGGTATTCTTTTCAGAAACCTGGTTTATTAAGGTGGTAAAGTCAGAAAGGGCATTTCGATTCACTGAAACAGGGGTTTAGAATCGGAATCAGAATAGTCCATTCCAATTCTAATTGTTTGATTGATTGGGCGGAATTGGAATCTTATTCTTATTTTTATTGAAATGGCATTCTTCCACTTGAGGGAATGGCTATTCTTTGTCCCTCCCCAGGAATGAAATCCCATTCTTATTGATTTTCAATTTTTATTCTTATCTGAATCAAACAGATTATAGGAATAGACCATTTCGATTTCAATTTCAAAAGAATTTAATTCCAATTCTAATTTTGATTGCGAGTCAAACGGACTTTAAGTGTAATGGAAGGAAAAAGAGGGGGCCTATCGTTTGTACTCAAAGAAGAGATTGCTTGGTATTTTATTCTGTCCTACGTATTAACAAACCACATACAGTAAACCAGAAAGTGTAGTACAAGTACGTGTACGTTTACAAATCGAGAAAAATTTGTAATGCATCGCGCCCCAGGCCCATTCAACCTGAGCCCACCCAAGTTGTCTCTCTAACTCTAAAAGCAAATTGTGAAAACAATAGGCCCATGGTAAAAACTTATTAGATATTTGTTTAACCAATTCATTTTAGAATTGGTTTTTAAAATTTAAGGTTAATATGTGGGGTAAGGTTTTTTTGTCTTGAAATATGTAGGATAAGAAATTTGTACAAGATTTTGACTGATAACTGGACCAAACTGTTTTTGATGGATGAATAATCTGATTTTTTTTTTTTCATTTTCATGGGTTGTGATAACACATTTATATGCACACACAACACATTTACAATGTGAAGAATTCCAATATAATATCGGGGTAAAAGAGGATCTAGATATAATTCTCAGGGATAAGAATAAAAGAAATATGCGTTTTTAGAGTTCAGTCTACTTCATAATTGTTTACTAGTTTCTCAAATGTATTTAGGGAAAATTTCCGATTAGTATTCTGTACTTTGAGTCTAGTGCCACTTTGAACCCCAAACTTTAAAATGCGTCAATTCAATATTTGAACTTTCAAAATGTGACAATCCAGTACCTGCTGTTAACCAGCCGTTAAGTGGCATTTGAAAAAGATACAAATGCCCTTTGAGTATCATCTAATTTTCTTTATCAACCATCCAAATATTGACAAAAAATTAACAGTCCCAAATCCTTGCCTCTTCTATTCAAGAAAGTTGAGGTCACCAGAATGCCCACACAAACATGACCCCAACTTGTTTGAACGGAACAGGCAAGGATTTGAGACTATTAATTTTTTGTCAATGTTTGGATGGTTGATAAAGAAAATTTGATGACACCCAAAGGGCATTTGTGTCTTTTTCAAATGCCACTTAACGGCTGATTAACAGCTAGTTAACAACAGGTACTGGATTGTCACATTTTGAAAGTTTGGGTACTGAATTGTCGCATTTTAAAATTTGGGACCAAAGTGGCATTAGACCCAAAGTAGAAGGTACTAATCAAGAATTTTCTCATGTATTTATGCCCACACACTCTCCCTATAAATACCATCCCCCTGTGAATTAGGAATCTTTTCTCCTTTACACTGACCCAAACTATATATGGCATTAGGAATTCTGAGGTGGACTGAACTCAAATTATCAAAAAATATATATATATATATATATATTAAAATAAAAACAGTTCACCTCAATCATAACTACAAGTATGAATTTACTGATTGTTGTTTAAATCCATAATCTCTGTTTAAAATAAATCACTGGTCACCATATTCTTGAAGAGTTGAAGTTATCATGAACATAATTGTTTAGATCCCACAATCTTTTATAACACAGCAAGCCTAATGCAATTGCCGGTGCTTTCAAAAGCTTCAACCTATACCTGGTGCCTGTTTGGGAGGAGGGCTTTTGGGATGCCATTTCTGGGGTTTTGAACTGGGCTCCACATAAAAATATCTGAAGTTGTATCTGATGAAAATCTGGAAAGTTAATATAAACATTTGAAACACCAGAATCATGACTGTAATACAAAGCTACTCTAAATAATTTATATGAATTACAGATGTATTCAACCAAACAAACTCATTAATGCAATTAGCTCCAAATGCAGAAACCATCCCAAACAGGGCCATAATATATGACCGTGAGTCCGTGACCATATAGAGAGTGACACCAATCTGAATGTAAGCAACGATAGATTGACAGGAAGATGGAGAGATAGGTTTATGATCAATCCATTTCTACTTAATTCATGTGATAATTAATTAAACCGAGCTTTAAATCATCATCATCAAAGGTCCACACACCTCTCATTCCGGAAAGAAACACACATGATGTGTTCATGGACCACCATGTGCAGATAACAACTAGTGGGGTTGTTAAGACACTTGGCCTTCATGCAATAATACGGGAGAGGTGTGTGAGGCTTAAATTTTTCTTCACCCAAATTCAATTATCAACTAAACCTGTCGATCGGACCAATGACGGAGGCCCGCACGCCAAAGACCATCAGCAGTGAAAAATATAGTGCACTGTTTTTTTATAAAAATGGTGTTGGGAATGTGGAGTTGTAACTAATATTTTTTTATAAAAACGATGTTTATTTTTTATTTGAAATGGATGTCAGCATATAGATGTTTTCTCAGAAAATAGTATTAGTTTTGTTTGATATCAGTTCTGGTAGCAACATTTTTAACATAAATCTATACTATTCAATCTCTAAGATGATGCCACATTGATACCATATTATTACACCGTTGACAGTAATATACTGTTTTTTCAAAAAATATTGAATTTAGTGTTACTTAAGACCATACTTTTCTGATTTCTAAGGCATAATCTAGAACAAAGTTTTTTTTTTTTTTAATGATACCAAACAAGAGAATGTTATTTGAAGTACCGCTTTCTCTAATGTGATGCCTAGTTGATGTTGTTTCCTAAAAAACAGCATCAATGCTAAACACCCACTAATGTCAAGACATTTAGGGTGTTTGATCTTTGATGAATAAATTGTTGGACCACATGGCAAGGATACGGTCAATGGAAGTTTTGAATCGTTTTTTGTTTTGAAAACAGATACTACTACGTAATTTTGGGGGTATTGACAATTTTAAGTGCCACAATCCAGTGGGCTTTGGGGAGGCAGTTTTCAGCATTTCTACACGGGAATATCAAAAGCTTGATAAAAGTTTGAGGTGTTATTTGATAGTACTTTTCAAAGTATTTTTCATAATTTCGAAAGTATGAAAAGTACATAAATATGTTTGTTTGTGTATTTTTTTATTTTTAAAAAACACAAAATATAAAATATAAAAAATTACAAAAAGCGTGAAGCCAAATTTTGATATTTTGTGCTTTTTGATCCTTTACATAATTTATATTTTTAAAAATTTAGATGTATGATATTTATGTGGTAATATATATAAATGCCAAATGAAAATATGGGCATTTTAATATAGTCGTTAGCATACTTCATGTGGCATTTATGTGTCACTACCCTAACATTTAGATGTCATATGATATTCATATATATTATCACATAACTTTAAGAGAACATAATGCTCAACCATCGCAACTCAATCAACACCATTAACCGACATTAGGGTGAACGATAAAATTATCAAACTATCCATTTTAATTTTAATTGATGCCCTTAAATGTCATTACCCCCAAGTCCAATGTACCAATTTATAATTTTCCTGATAAATCAATGAATCAACATTGTTATACCATCTGAATCGATCATGATGTTATTAATTTAAAATTTTCAAAAAAAAAAATACTAATGGGTCATATAATCCAATGATTCAACCATCTGAGTCAATGGATCATTAACTAAATTACTGTATAGTGGTTGGTGGATGCCATAACCTTACAACAGGAGCACTGGACACGGTCCTCCTTCATTTAGATGAGCTCTCTCTCTCTCTCTTGTTAGTTGTTATGACTTCTTCAGAATCATCAAATCGAATAGTGAAGTGTTGGTGCTGGTGGGGAAGGTGGTCCGCATTTGTTATGGGGAGAGCACATGAACCATGATGTTGTCACCAATACCATACCTAGACCCCCTTCACCTTGTTACAGCTTTTACTGATGAATGATGATAGCCCTTGCATAATGCCTCCACTGGTTATTATTACCTGTTTCCAATAATAACAACACATGTATTCCCATCCACTCTCTCAATCTTACTTGGCTATTGCATCCATTTTGTTAGTGGTTATGATTCCGATCCTAACCCTACGGTTTCCCATATAACTTATGAGAAGGACGTCTCATTTAATATACCTACAAATGAAATTCAATACCATCACAAAATTCACAACACTTTG